TACAATCAAATTGCCTTCCCAGGCACTCCCTCAGCGGCTTATAGCCGCCTGCGCCCTCTTTTCCCAAAAGAGGGTCGCTTTACGATACGGCATATGCAGCTTTAATAGAGCTAGTTGCCAGTCCCCAAAGGCGGTTTTTAGTGGGTATCACTTAGGTCCCCCGGTAGGCAGTGAGTCCCACATAACCAGGACAGACCGGCTGTCGTGGTATGCATAATGCATTTTCCGCCTCCCTCAGTGGTAGTCCTTTTCCAATTGCTTCGGGCGCAAAAAAAAAAAAAAAGTCGGTGAGCTGTTCATTTCGGAAGCGTCACTCGAAGAGAAGAAAACAGCAAGAGAAATCAAGAAAATCAAGACTCAAGAAGACTCCATTAAGAAGACTCCCCTCTGTATAATAGTGTAATTAATAGTGCCACATTGTAAATAGTTTGAATACAGTATAGTTCAACAGTACCATCTTTTCTTTAAGCAGTTTCCCTAGCGTACTCAATAATACATTCCACTGCGATCCCTAACATTTATATTGTTAAATCTAAGTATTAAATATGCCATGTTGTGTCAAAATTTCAAAGCAATCGGTAAATAATTTCTGGCGATTTAAGATTTTGAACAAACCAACATTTAAATTTTTATTTTATTATTGCGCGCTAGCTAAGCCATGAATGATTCCCACATATTCTATACAAAGAAATCAAATAAGTCTGGTTAACCTATCTCCAATACGTGCGTAGAAAAGAATAGAATGGAATGGGATGAAATGAAATGGAATGGAGTTGAATAGAGTAGAATAAAATGAAATATTATGGTTTAAAACTGAATTAAAACGGAACAGAACAGAAGAGAACAGACCCGAATAGAACAGACCAGGATAATATATAAGTATGTTTATTTAATATAGATTACAAGAAATTCTTATTGAAAGGCATTTTTTAATTTTACTCTTTAAAAGGAATTTAATGAACATGTCTGATATATTACGTTTTAATATTTGATCTAAAAACTTATTTTTATTAAAAGTTTACTTTTGTACCCCGCTACAGAATATCAATTACATTAAAAACTTCATTCCAATTGTTTCTTAAAATTTGTTTGGATCGACATCTGAAGTATAAACTACGTAATAAAAATAAATATTTATATCGGCTTAGCCGTTGTCGAGAAATCAGTGAACATAAATAAAAAATAAGCGCGTCGGGTATCAATCCTCCTCGTTTTATTGAAATTAGTTAGCTTCAGTCGATGTAAAAGTCCAGTACGTTTATTGAAATGTTTATCCCGCCAGAACTATGCCGTTATATAAGGGACCAATTAAGCACAAATGTCGTACCTGGAAATACAATGACGACCGTTCAGATCTGAACAAGTACCAAGCTCCATAGCAGTTCAGACACAGTTTAGAAATTTAAAAAGTGTTTCATGTCAATCTTTTTTTTCATTTTAATTGATTTAAAGGATACAGAATTTCGGTAATTAGTAGCTTTCAATTTTTTCCTTTGTACATGACTAAATAATTTTACCATAATACCAAATTTGAAGTTTCTAAGTGTCTCCACCTCATAGGGAGAATTTAGTGCATTAGAACATGGGAGATAAAATAAAGCTCCTAGAACTGTTATAAGTTTATTTCTGATACAATTATATTGGGTATAATTCGGTTGCGGGAATTCAACGGGAATTATAGATTATATATAATATACAACTTCTATGGGTTATAGTATAATAGATTATATACCAATTATTACACAGATAATGTATATATACACGTATAAATTCAGGTTTATATTAACTGTGGTGCAGACACTAATTTTTATTTAAGTGGTCTAGGTTTAGACGAGCGAATGAGTCCGTATGTTATATAAATTACACTATTTAGAGTTCAATTTTAGGGGGCTTTATCAGAAATGCAAAATGACAAATGTCTAAAAAAGAGGGTAAAAGTAGTTTGAAATAGTACGTGCAAATTTAGATAATCAGATATGCATTATATGAATAAATATTCTCGACAATATCGGGTTTGATCACACAATAGGCAACAGAATGATTTGCATTACAAAGTGATAAGAGCCTTAAAAGGGGGTCGTGCTCATTTGATATGCTTGTGTGGTAATTTTCTACACGAGCACTTTGATCTCATTTGCTGTCATTGTCATGGAACAAAAAAAAACACATTGTAAAGACAGTGAATAAAATTAATTTTACGATATTTTATTGTGTATAACCTATACATCATATCTATACTTACAAATAAAATTGTAGTGTCTGCCTCTATTATGGAAATAACAGTATTTCATTGAGCACAGAGTTATTTGAATGCCATTAAGACATGAATAATTATTTTAAAAAAATCGTCTGTCTGTCTGTTCGGGATAACCTTTGAAATGACTGAACTGATTGTGATGAAACTTCGATATTTTATCCAAAATGCTTCGAGATTTTTAATAAAAATGAAAAATTAATAAAATCAATGGTCGTTTATGTTTTAATAAATAATTAAATAAATGGCGTTCAGAGTTACTACCCAAGCAAATAAGGGTTTGGTTGCTATTTTATCCATGAGTCGGGAAAACTATATTGTGATTATTAATTTTGTTTCAATCAACGCTGAAGGAGATTTTATTTTTCAAATAAAGTTAGCGAACGAGCACACAGTCTACCTGATGGTAAGCGGGTGCTGAGACCCGTAGACATCTACATCCATCCTTGATTAAGAACCAAAATTCAGACGCGTCATCACCCCAGAGGACTTGGAAAGAATGCTTCATTTCCAGTAAAAAGAGTATCTGGTTCTCTACACTAACCAGACAACACGAATGAAACACAAACACATCAGCATTCAGCTATTATATTAAGCTAGTTTACGCTGGTATTCCGTGAGAGCGTGGTCTTTCCCGGTCCATTATATATCTGCAGCGCGGCGTGGCTCTAACACGTATGAGTTTAGTGTAACTTAAGATCTTACCAAAATACCAAGCTGATAGGAACTAGTTGTAGCATCCAGTATCAGTTGTTTTATATTTAATTACCTACACTAACGCATAATTTTTTGTAGGAATCGGTGCTCTTTTGACTGAATTTGTCTTGTAAACTGTGACAATTCGAACAACACAAACTATTAACTCAAAAATTTTTCTTCGATGGTATTGTTCACTCTTCAAACAATAATATGGCCCATGACATTTATTTGGTTGGATATTTCATATCTAGCAATTGCTGAAATGACTGCCTATGCTGTTATTTCTGTGGTCGCTACAAGGTTTTTCCGGCGTGTTCAACTATACCTGTACTTATTATTGATAAAAACATATAGTAACGATTTCTTATATTTAACCGAACACTTCATATTGAATAAAACGATTTTTACGGATTTTATCGCGTTTAATTTTATTTTGCTAGGTAAAATAAACGTGATGAAATTCATAAAAATAGTTTTATCCAAAAACAAGAATGTTATCAAAATTTAATAACACGTAAAAATACTCAATGGCGTATAAATATAAAAGCTCTTAAAATTATAAGGAGTAAAACTATATTCACTTTGCAAGCACAATGGGACCCAAGAGTTTTGTGGTAGAAAGTTAACTGGAGTCAAGTGTACACGTCTTGTGTATTATTCAAAGCATTGTACATACTTGGCTTTGTTGCAAAGTTTGATTTTCCCAGCTTACAACCGCATGTGTAATTTATTTCTTCGTAGTGAAAAACAGAGTTAACTACTACGTTACTATTAATTACGTACAAAATTTGCGTAACTTATAATTTCATCATCACGCCCCCCTCTTCGTGGTAGAGCTACGTTGCAGCTATATTATGGTTGCACATAGCCATAGTAGCGACGGTTGGCAGGCGGGTTGGCATTTCGAGTCGTTGTCAGGAAGACGCTGCTGCCCATCTCTTGTTTCAGTTTCTCTGTCACCTCTTACGACACCCATGTGGTGATAGGGGGTAGTGGGAATTTTTACGTGGTGGAGCCATGCTGCAGCTATATTAGTAGTATAGTTGTAGCACGAATCTGTCGGCTCGATCAGAGAAGGACCACGCCCTTACAGAATATCAGCGTAAAATAGCAGTTTAACGCTGCTGTGTTTCGTACGGTGGGTGTAGAAAACCGGAAACCCTTTTTACTGGAAAATAGGCATTCTATCTTAGTCCTCACGGGTGACAACGCATCTGCATTTTAATTCGCAAACGAGGATAAATGTAGATGTCTATGGGCCACAGCAACCACTTACCATCAGGTGGACTGTATGCTCTTGTCTCTTTGTCATCCTATTCTATAAAAAAACGTTTGTACAAAAAAAAATAATTTAAACCAAATTTCTAATGAGACTGAACAAGCCGCAGATCAAGATAGTAACAAGTGCTATCACAGGACACGGCAACTTTAACAAACATTTTGTGGCGGATTGGGATTATTTTACTAGATATAGTGGACTGTATTGAGAATCTAAATCCCCTGAAACGTTCAGTTACCGCAGTCACAAAATCACACCAAAAACAGCAACAAACTACTCACGGTCTTACTAGCCAGCCTCCCAAGATCAGCAAACGTTGACAGCTCCTGGTAGCTTCTTCTACACGGTAGAATACACTAGCAATTAGATTGTACACGGTACACTCTGGAGTAGTCCCTTTTTAAAGTTTTTGGAGCGATGTTCACATCACGAACACAAAGAGAATGTGTGTGGCTTGTCTCGCCTCCTACCCTCCTCTTCTCTTTTTTTTAACTCCACAGATTATTACAACGCATATTACGTCGCAATGTTGCCACTAGGTGTGACCGGCGCTCCGATCGTAGCAGATCATTGTGCCTCGGTATAAATTTTGTGAGTTGCTGTTTATTACTGAACACACCCCCCACCGAAACCATCTTGATGGTTTCTCCTAACTATATGAAAAAGATATTAGAGAAAATATTATAACTTAAGCTACGGAACATGCAAAATAACGCTGAGACACAGAATGTCCTCAACGAGAAAAAAAAATATTAATACACGTAAAAACTAATTTGAATAAGGTAGAGGACTCAGTTTATTAACTGGTCTCTGTAGAGTACTCTTTTGAGTGCGAAGCGTAACACAACGAACAATCCCATCTGGACCGGGGTGAAGAGCCTCAATTCTACCCAAAGGCCAATCGCACGGCGGTACATTATCAGTTTTTATGATTACGAGATCACCTATTTTTATATTAGATCTATCCGAATGCCACTTTGCTTTCTGTTGCAGCGTATTTAGATATTCGTGACTCCATCTACGCCAAAACATTTGTGAACAATTTTGAATATATTGCCAACGTGATAATCGATTTATTGTTATATCCTCTACATTATACTCAGGTACTGCTGTTAACCCTTTTCCAATTAGAAAGTGTCCCGCAGTCAAAACGTTGAACTCATCAGGATTATCACTAGCTGGTAACGGACAAAGCGGCCGCGAGTTGAGAATCGCTTCTACTTTACAAAACACTGTTGTGAGTTCCTCGAACGTCAAACTTTTTTCTCCTACGGCTCGCGTTAATAGATACTTGGCGGATTTAATTCCAGCTTCCCAGAGCCCACCCATATGTGGTGCACCAGGGGGATTAAATCTCCATATAATTTGTCGTTTTGAGCAACCCTCTAATATATTGTTTTTTTGTTCGAGCATAAATCTTTGTACTTCGGTTAAATGCTTACTAGCAGCTATGAAATTAGTTCCGCAATCCGAATAAAGGAAGGAGCACACACCGCGTCGCGCTACAAATCTGTCTAAACACGCGAGGAAACAGTCCGATGACAACGACGATAAGACTTCAAGGTGTACAGCTTTTGTCGAATAACAAATAAATAATGCTAAATATGACCGTTCAACCCTAGCATTTCGTCGTAAACTTTCTTTTGTAAAGAACGGACCACCGAGGTCCACCCCTACATGCTCAAAAACATTACAAGGTATCAATCGGGCTGCTGGCAAAGGTGCCATCTCAGGCTGTAAGAGCACTGGGTTGTGTTTAAAACAAATTTTGCATTTGGACAAAACTGACCGAATAATGCGACGGGATGCTAAAATCCAAAAATTTTGATTAATAATGTTTTGTAAGGTGCGTGGACCTACGTGTAAATATTTTTTATGTAAATATTCAATAAGTAAAAAGGTAAATCTACTATTTTTAGGTATTAAACGAGGATGCTTCGCGTTATAAGGTAACGCTGAATAATTTATTCGACCCCCCACCCTGAGGTATCCGCGTTCGTCAATAAATGGAGATAATTTTCTCAACGACGGAACGTACTTTGTGCCCATGGACAATCTATTTATTTCATTTGCGAAGTATGCACTTTGTACTAATTTAATTAAAACATCTTGGGCAGTATTTAATTCGTTAGTCGTCAGTATTGATTGCTTCGAGTGACCGGATTTGAGTCGGAACCATCTCAATATTCGAGCAAACGTACGTTGCAGTTTATAATAAGAAGAGAAATTGGAAAAGATTCGGTCACAGAACTCTAACTTAGTCTCCTCTATCGAATTATTTTCATTTGTGATTAAATTGAAGGAGCCTAATGTATGATTTGATTTCATTTCGGGTGTATTACTTTCATGTTGGTTGATAAATGTTCTCACTGGCCACTGCGAATAGTCGTCGTACAACCAAGATGGGCCCTTCAACCACTGCTCACTGCACTCCACGAGCTGTGACGGAGACGCTCCGCGCGAGCATATGTCTGCCATATTGCACTCACTACTCACGTGACGCCAACAGTGTGGAGGTAACACTTCACATACCTGAGTAACACGGTTACTAACAAACGGCTTTAATTTGTAAGCTTCTGTCTGAAGCCACGTCAACACGATAGTCGAATCGGTTAACGCAGTAATACGAGTAATTTTTACACGAGTTAAAATGTCACGGACATATCTAATTAATTTGCTTAACAAAACTGACGCCATTAATTCCAACCTCGGGATAGTTAATGGTTTGACGGGGGCTACTTTAGATTTTGCTGTCACCAGGCGTACTTTAGTTTGACCTCTATCGTTACGACTGATCACATACACACAACTAGCATAACCGCGAGAGCTTGCATCGCAAAAGGCGACCAATTCACATTCGGTCTGTTCTGGTAGCAGCATATGTCTATCTATCTTGATTGCCGTTAGTCGCGGGAGATCATCAACGTAATTAAGCCAGCGCTTAGTTACGTCAGTTGGCAGCTGCTCATCCCATCCTATGCCCAGCTTCCATAAATCTTGCATTATCTCTTTCGCGATGAAAATGCACGGTGAAATAAAACCCACGGGGTCGTAAATAGAAGCTAATAATTTTAAAACAGAACGTTTAGTTGTTACTTTATCAGTCTTATCTACTGTGAAATAAAAACAGTCAGTCAAAGGGAACCACTTCAGACCTAGCACTTTGACTGAATATTCGTTACCATCTTTCATAAATGTAACAGGACACTCTCGGTTTTCTAACGGAACGCGTTGTAAAACTTTTGCACTATTACTCGCCCACCTTTTGAGTATAAAGCCACCGGAATTAAACATCTCTAAAAGTTCATCTTGTAACCGAGATATCTGTGACAATGAACTACAAGAATATAGAATGTCATCCATGTACACGCCTTCGCGCACAACCTTTGCAGCGAGTGGGAAACGTTCTTTCTCGTCATAGGCTAACTGTAAGAGGGTGCGGATAGCTAAGAACGGTGAGCAACTTAAGCCGTAAGTGACAGTTTTTAATTCATAAACGTCAATGGCATCGTTAGGCGAATGACGATACAAAATATGTTGATAACATCTATCTGACTGATTCAGTTTAATTGCCCGATACATTTTGCATACGTCACAAATCAAACAATATTCAAACAACCTAAAATTCAATATTATAGCCCCAATATCTCGATACAGATTAGGCCCGGTCAATAGAATATCATTAAGCGAAACGTTCGTGGACGTTTTAGCCGAGGCATCGAATACCACACGCAACGGAGTAGTGGAACTACTGGGCTTAAGTATACTGTGATGAGGTATCACATATTTGCTTGGGGTGTCCCCCGAATAAAGCTCCATGTGCCCTAGATTTTCATATTCGCACATGAACTCTGAATAGGCTTGTCGTAATACAGGTGAACGATTCAACTTGCGCTCGGTGAACAAGAGTCGCCGCTCGGCTGCCGCTCGTGACGCGCCCAACGGAGGCGGGTCTGGTATGAATGGTAACGGCACTGAATAGGTACCATCCTCAGTACGACTATAACGAGCCACGAAAATGTCTTCCGCTAATTGTTCCAAAGGATTAATCGAGGGTTTGCTTGGCAATTCTTCGATTTCCCAAAATTTACGCAACGTTTGATCTAAAGACTCTTGTTCATCAAATGAGACTGATAAATTATAATTTTTTAAATTGTCCTTATCATTGCTATAAAGTTTACCACTTACAACAAACCCGAAAGCGGTATCGATCACGCTTGGTATATCCGATGAAATAATATAAGGTTTATCCTTAATAAGTTCCGAAACTATATCATTGCCCAATAGTATATCGATACGCGAACGCTTATAAAATAATGGATCAGCTAAATTAAAATTCTTATATTTATTAATAACGTCCGAGTGGAATCGAACGTTAGGCATATCAGCAGATACCTTAGTCACTACGACCATGTTCAATGTAAAACTAGGTAGGTCAGTGTGTAGGGACCTTAATGTGCATGTAATCATGCCGTGATTTTTTACAGCCTCTCCACCGAGACCATAAATATTAAACGAACACTTCTTTCGAGGTAAGCCCAAACGTTGAGCACACTCAGTTGTAATAAATGAGCTCTGAGCTCCAGAGTCAATAACTGCACGGCAGTATTGAAGCTGGCCGCTACTATCAATTACTAACACACGCGCCGTTCCCAATACAACACCGTAACCCGAGTGAACGTTATTGGAATGAAGCGTATCTATCGTATAACGCTCTGAGTCACTCATAGCCTGAGACGAGACGAGTGCTTGTTGCACTTGCGAGTCAGAGCACAATGGACGGGTGGATGTTGGCACGAGCGTGTCGCTCACTGGCTCCCTATGCAATAGATAATGATGTAGTGACGCACATACACCACAAGACATCTCACTTTTACAAGTTGAGGTATCATGATTTCCTTTTAGGCAATTATGACACAATTTTAAGGTATTGACACGGTCAATCCTTTTATCTACGGTCAATTTACGAAATTGATCGCACCTATAAATCATGTGATTTTGATTGCAATGCGCGCAAATTATTTTTTTATTTTTATTATAATTCGACACATTAGTATTTAAAACTGTCTTTGAATAACTTTTGTAGTGGTTATTATTGTTGCCTTTGTAATTGTTACATATAGACTTATTTCTTGATTGTAACGACATCGTACTATTCGATGAATGTTCGAGTACTTTAACTTGTTTATTTACAAAACTAATTAATTCCGAAAAAGATGGAAGTGAATTTTGCTCCCGATTTTCTTCAAAAAGCCTCCTAGTATGCGCATCCAACCCACGTAAGGCTAAATGACAAAATAAATAGTCATGTAAATTTTTAATTTTTAATGCCTCGATGGCTTTAAAAGAGTGATCGAATGTTTCGATAAATAAAGTAAGATTTGCGGTAGTGTCTTTATTTAACGGCGTAAAGTTTATCATTTTATCGATGTACCTACCCACGAGTATTCGATCATCTTGATATTTATTACATAAACTTTGCCATACGACAGTATAATTAGCGGCTGTTATGGGCAATTTTTTAACAATGTTTAATGCCGAACCTTTAACACATGAAAGCAAATAGTGAAACTTATCTATTTCATCGAAATCTCGATTGTGGACAAGTGATACAAATGTATCGTAGAATGTGGTCCACTTCTCAATATCACCATCGAATTCAAATAAACGTAATTTAGGTAATGACGGCCTTACATCACTCCTATCTTTCCTACTGAGGGATGCCTGCTCGTCCGGTTTTAATCTTAAATATTGCAACCTACATGCCTTATAAAGTTCATCAAATGTATCTAATTCTCGCGTTGACAATCTTGTCTCCGGTTTTAATGATATATCTATTTCAATAATATTTAACACTGTTTCTTCAAACTTTGAGCGGACACTTTCTAATTCGGAATAATCGGCTAAGAAATTCTGAATTTGTGTGGGATCATTTATTTGGGATCTCGCGATATCGAAAACCTTTTGTAATTTAGCAAATAGGTATTCCTTTTTAAAAATAAGTGTTTGCCTTTTTATTTGTAATTTATCCGACATTATGAACAAATTACAAAATTAATACTTTATAAACGCACCGAGCAATGGACATCCAGGTAAAAAAGAGGCAAATTAAATAAGGGATATTAAATTAATTAAATGCGTAGTTTTACTCAAATATATGACGTCCACGGGACGCGAATTAAGGGTAGAAAATTATTATTCGAAGATCACTAATTCGAATATATGCGGCTCGAAGGCCAGAAATGTGGCGGATTGGGATTATTTTACTAGATATAGTGGACTGTATTGAGAATCTAAATCCCCTGAAACGTTCAGTTACCGCAGTCACAAAATCACACCAAAAACAGCAACAAACTACTCACGGTCTTACTAGCCAGCCTCCCAAGATCAGCAAACGTTGACAGCTCCTGGTAGCTTCTTCTACACGGTAGAATACACTAGCAATTAGATTGTACACGGTACACTCTGGAGTAGTCCCTTTTTAAAGTTTTTGGAGCGATGTTCACATCACGAACACAAAGAGAATGTGTGTGGCTTGTCTCGCCTCCTACCCTCCTCTTCTCTTTTTTTTAACTCCACAGATTATTACAACGCATATTACGTCGCAATGTTGCCACTAGGTGTGACCGGCGCTCCGATCGTAGCAGATCATTGTGCCTCGGTATAAATTTTGTGAGTTGCTGTTTATTACTGAACACATTTATTTACTATGGGTGTTACAGATAGTCCCCTGTGCAGGGCATGTATGAGGGAGGAAAAAACGGCGGCCCACGTGCTACTGAAATGTCTGGAGGTTGCTACGTACAGGGCCAAACATCTCGGCACGTCGGGATCACTCCCCGAAGTTGCATGCAACATCAAAGGACTGTTGTACTTCTTCGGGGAGATCTCATGACTCGAATAATCACATTATTCCTGCCCACACGCAAAATACGCGCATAGACTTGGAGTTGCGGAAAACAGCCCGTCGTAAACTAAACTAATACGTCGTAAAATATACTGTATAATGTACATCCTCTTTTATTTTTATTTTTATTTTTACTAGCTGTTCCCCGCGACTTCACCCGAGTGTAATTTAGGGCTCTAATTATGTCGGGCGGAACTACATTTTTTTAAATATAATTACCCTAAGTTACTCCTTATAACATCAGCTATCTGCCAGTGAAAATCCCGTCAAAATCAGTCCTGCCGACGAGACAGACAGACAAAATATGAAGTAATTGTGTTTTTGTTATAAGTACCGTATATAATTTCATATGCATTTAGTAAAAGCTGTTATTTTGACATTACAAACAGACACTTTACTTTTATTTATTTGTATAAAAGATAAAACTGAAACTACTGATTATTGCTTTTTTTTTATGAAACTGAACTTACTCTCCACCTGATGGTAAACGGCTCCTGCAGTTTATGCGCACTTGCAGATAACTTCATACAAATCAGACTACATATGCGTTGTACCGTTTGAGGACTTGTCTCACAGCCAACAATAATATTGGCCCTCTATACCCTTTAGAGCGAAACACTGTAATGCGAGCACTGCTCTATTTGGCGGCAGTGGAAATGGACATCTAATATATTCTCAATGCTCTCTATTTGTTCGTAAAGTTTTACCACACCCGGACAGACAGACAGACAAAAATTTTAAAAGTTGTTATTTATGCCTTAATTTTTCTATTAAGACATTTACTTCTCAATAATTAAAAATTAAAATTTTGTACAACCGACTTCAATATATATTATTAAGAATCATTCAAAACTACTGGTCAGACCTTGATCAAATTTATATGGGACCGCATGTGAAGCACCAGCTTTCAAATAAAAAAGAATCATCGAAATCGATCCACCCAGTAAAAAATTAATAGGTAAAGGTACTGCTTTTTAAAGTCGGTAGAAAAGAGTACAATGCATTCACTTACATGAGAAACTTAGCATACACATTTAATATGATCCCGAGCGTAATAGAAGCCATTTATTTCAATAATATTACAGACAGCCACTTTAATTTTAATATAATTATTTGCTTCTTCTTCTTTATTAGTTCGTGAAAGTCAACAACTGAACATCTCATAGATAGCCTTATAGGAAGGATAATTGTCATAGTTGCGACGCTTGGCAGACAGGTTTGCAACCACAGGTTTTTTTTTATGAATCGATATCAGAAAGGTCCCAATATCGATTTATAATAACAAAAAACTAAACAATATCCTCTGTCACCTTTTAAATATAGCATAAAAATATTGAACTTTTAAACTTACTTTATTTATTGTTTTAAGGAAAATATTTCGATCACAAAAAAGTATAATTGGCTAATTTACAAAATATTGAAGTAGGTTATTAAATAGCCTATTCCCTTATTGTATAAAGTAACAAGATTCCATCTTAAAGCGGATTGCCACCAACAATACATCAGAAAGTAGGCAATTTGTTTAATGGGACCCATGTCATTTCATTGAATTTATAGATAGATAGATAGATAGAAAATTCTTTATTGCACTCAAACAAACAAACATTTGGTACAAAGGCGAACTTAATGCCAAAAAGGCATTCTCTGCCAGCTAACCTTTGGTAGTGTGGTGAGAGTTATGGGTAGAGCCGCAACAGAGGGAAAAAAAAAACTAACTTACTTTAGAAACTAACTTCACATATTATTCAATAATATAATATTATATAAATATGTTACTTTATATATATTGACACTTCATACACACACATATATACATATATATAAATGTATATATACATATAAACAAAAATACATACTATACCAATAAAATACATACAATCTAGTATAAGAAAATATAATATTATGTAAACCAATAATATTAATCAAGTAATTTTAAATAATGTGCCTCAACCTTACGTTTAAATGAATTTATTGAGGGAGCATCTTTTATATCTCGTGGAAGGTTATTCCAAAGTGTAATTGATGATACCGTAAAGGAATCTGAGTAGTATGTAGATTTATGCAACGGGATAGTTTATAGAGATAGTTTTATTGGACATCGAACGGGATAAGCTTAAGTATGAAAAACGCTCTTTCAGATAAGCTGGGGAACAAGGATTGTAAAGAATACCATACAAAGTGGTTAGAAGGTGTGTGTTCCGGCGAAAACGGATGTCGAGCCACTTAAGTCTTGAGCGAGATTGTGATATATGATCAAACTTGCGCAGGCCAAAAATATAGCGTATGCACAAATTGAGCAGACGGTCGAGTTTGCTAAGCAGTTCCTCAGTTATATCTGGATAAGCAATATCAGCATAATCTAAAATAGGAAGCAACAGAGTGTTGACTAACGTAACCTTGGCTGTCTGAGGGATAAACTTTTGCCAGAGCTTTAATGAATGCATTGTGCTAAAAATTCGTTTCCGGACCTCACTAACTTGTGACACCCAGCTTAGGTCGTGAGCCAAAATTAAGCCGAGGTTTTTAACCTGCCTAGCATATTCTACATCAACACCGGTTAGAATAACCTTAGGCAGATGTTGATAGTCGAGTCGGCATGTAATTTTTCTGCTGCCTATGATTATAACCTGTGTTTTGGCAGGATTTAATATTAGTCCATGACAGCTTGCCCACTGATGAACTGCAGCAAGATCCAAATTCATTTTGTCAACAGATGCATTTAGGTCATTTACACTAAAATGCTGATACAGCTGGACATCATCTGCGTACAGGTGATACTTGCTGAAATTTATTACGGAAACAAGTGCCCTGATAAACACAGAAAAAAGCAACGGAGATAAAACACCGCCTTGAGGAACACCAGCAACAACGTTACACCAGTCGGAGAACTTATCATCAACACGAATGCGTTGCCGGCGTCCCCGAAGATAGGAACTGAACCATTGTACAACTGATGATGTTAAATTCAGGGGTTTTAGAACTGCTAACAGAATGTCGTGGTCAACACAATTAAACGCGTTACTGAAGTCTAGGAGGACAAGAAGAGTAAGTTGACGATTATCCATCGCAAAGCGGATATCATCAGTTATTTTAATTAAGGCCGTGGAAGTACTGTGCAGTGGACGGAAACCAGACTGAAAAGGATTGAAGAGGTTGTTTTTGTTTAAAAATTTTGTGAGTTGGTAATGAACAACCTTTTCAAGAATTTTAGAGAAGAAGGAGAGGATAGATATTGGCCTATAATGGTTGAAATTAGTAGGAGAGTTGTTTTTGGGGATAGGAATTAGGAACGCTTCTTTCCACTTGGTAGGGAAGGTACTGGAGGCAAAGGAAAAATTTATTAGATGAGTGACATCGGAAACTATTTGGTCCAAAATCGGCAAAACCATATCGCGTCCAATACCATCTGGGCCAACAGCTTTGCTGGATATAACGGATACAATTTTTTTTACTTCATCATCAGTCACTGGTTCGAAACAGAAAGGAGTCCAACATGGTAAAAGGAAAGAAGTAATATCTTTAATGGTATCGCTTTTGACTGTTGAGTCCAATGTAACTGGCGAAGAGCAAAAGTGTTTATTCAGCGCTGATAAGTCAAGGGAGTGACTAACATTCTGATTCCTTTTACCAAAGCCCAGGCTGCGCAAGAACTTCCATATATTCTGGGTTGAGCAAGTCTGAATAGTATTGTGAATGTATCGGCGTTTGGCATTTCGTATCACCTGGTTGCAGCGATTCCGTGCCTTTTTAAATCTTTCCCAGTTCTCATCACTGGGCAAGCATTTATGTTTTCTTTTTAGGCGGTCTCTACGTGCCATAAGAGATCGAATATATGGCGTAAACCAGGGTGCTGGTGCCCGTTTCATTTTTACTGGTCTTAAAGGCGCTACTTTGTCATAGGATGTCATTATAATGTTATTTAATAACTCCAGTTTATTGTCAATATGATTAGTGTTATAAAAGTCTGACCAATCAGCACTGCATATCTCATAATTTAATAGCTGGCGATTCAAACGGACAAGGTTACGCTGAAACACAATTTTGGGAGTTGACTTAGTTGATTTAAGAGCATATGATGCGAAAATAAGATCGTGATGTGAAAATCCAGGAGCCACAAGTTGGCCATGTA